TTTTTACAAGGTGTCCTATTCTAGACTAATCCTTGGGTCTGTGATCCGGCCCCTCTTCACACAGTCCGGTTAATCGCAGGATGTGCCTCCAACTGACCAGGGTCCGAGCGCTCCCCACCTGGTCTGACAAAGTGCCAAGCAAGCCAATGTCGCATGTCAACTTATTACTATACTAAATTGTACGTGTTAAAAAAAGACCTAAAGATGTTACTAACCCCATTGTACAATTTATTGTTTACAAAGTGTGACGTAAGTGATGAAATGTGATAGAGTAATTAATTACAGTTCGCACTCTACTAAAATTAGTTTTTTCTCAAACTTATTTTTAATCACACGTTATTTTAATAAAATATTTTACACGTAATTCAAAATTTTTATCTACTTTTTAATTATTTATTTTACAAAAAAATTAATTTTATAATGATCTATTTTTTTAAAAATAGAGCTAAATTTGAAACTGTTCGTTTTCCGAAATCGAATTGGAACAAATTAAAATTGAGTTATCCAATTAAAAATTTCCTCATAAGTTATATTGACCCAATTATGAAACACAGTCTCTGATACAGATGGCAATTTGAACCATCAAAACCGAAAACCGCGGTTAACCGAACCAAATGGGGCGAAAAAAATCGAACCGATGGTGCAATGGGGCGGATATGGTTTTGATTTTAATGAACCGGTTCGTAATGGTGTGGGTATGGTATTTACGTCGTCGAACTGAAACCGAACCGATTACCCGCTTAAAAAAAAATTGAATTGATAATGAGTTTTACACTACTTTTCTATCCAAATCAAAACAAAATCCCTCCCCTCCTCATTACATCTATTTGACTCATTCGGCCAGTCTACTTACCATTAGCCTATAATAGCATTAGTATGACAGTATATAAATACAAACCATACTCTCCACAACCACAAACTCACGCACGGCTCCATTTCTTCTACGGTCCAAATCGTCGTTGCCTCCGAAAATTTGTTACATTTGTTAGTCATTCTATTACTGCTGATCATGTAAAAACAAAGTTCGATGTTTTTCTAGACATGCCAATATTGCCAAGGATGAATAGGGATCAACTTTAAATGCTGATCTATACTAGTAAGACTTGTAGAGAAGAATGCATCAAGTAACTTCGATGCACAACAATTAAGAATGAAGGAAAAAGTTTAGTATCATTATATTTATAATATTATTTGTTAAATTTGTATTTTACAATTGAAAATTAGGATAATGTTTGCATTTACGTTGGGAATATTGTTTGATAATGTTTACATTTTCGTTTGGAATATTATGTTTTTGTTTTCATTGACTTTTTTTATAAATTGTTTTATATCAATTTGAAGGATGAACCTATAAAAAATAATTTATTTTCGTGGTTATTAACCGAACCGAACCGTGCCGAACCGAGATAAAAATCGAACCGAACCGAATCGATTTTCGTGGTTATGGTGCGGTTATGGTATGGTCAAAAATTTGGTGGTGCGGTTATGATTTTGACCGAACCGACCCATAACCGAACCGTTGCCAACCCTAGTCTCTGATTTCTTTTTCTCCCAAAACGCTGTCGTTTGGGGCTCTAATACAAATTCTGGATTCAATCGGCTCTTCTGCGTTAATTCAAAATTACAAAAAATATCGGCCATGAAGTCCCAAGAAAAAGAAATGAAAATTCTTCTGAATCCACAACTTCTTCTGGTTTTCACGGTAACGATTCTGCACCGAGTCACTGCGTTGGCACAGTGCGAACTCAGTGTAAAAGACCACGACAAGCTCTACAACTACAGCTTAGCCTCGCCGCTCTCTAAATTTCCCCATGGAATCCTCAGTGAAGACGGGTAGGTCTCTAATTTACAAATTCGTATGAGCCCTTATGATGTATATTTTTTGAGGATAGATTTTGTCAAAATGATTTTATTTTTTGAGGATGTGTGGTAAAAAAGTCTTAAAAAGTTATGAGTGCAAGTGCAAAATTATTTAAGATTGTGGAGAAATGGGTTTAGGGCGTGTCCAATCTTAACACCAAATCGTCGTTCCCACCAAATTTCACCATTTTCACCAAATATACGGTTCCAACCCAACACCAAATCTTGCACCATTTTGGCAAAATAATGCAAGTGAATAGTTTTTGCACCATTTTCCACCAAATATACGGTTCCAACCCAACACCAAATCTTGCACCATTTTGGCAAAATGATGCAAGTGAATAGTTTTTGCACCATTTTCCACCAAATGTACATAAATTTTGATTCGTAATTAAGTAGTTAATTATTATTATTAATATTTGTAATAAACTTTAATCGTGTAATCAATAATTAAACATTTATGGGATTAATATATGAATTTCATAATTAAATTACTCCCCTAGGTCGACTTTGCTGTACCATAATTTCGAGATTTGAAATGTCAGACGTTGTTTTCAATAACATGATTTAATATTTTCTTTCTTGTAGTATTTTTATTAATTGTACTACATTTTAAAAATATATTAAATAATTTAATATTTTCGTACTTTATGTATGCAATAATTTATGTAGAAGTAAATCGAATAAATAAATAAATTTTCAGCTCTATAAATTTTTAAGAATAAAAAAATGAAGAGAAATTATTTAGCACTATTTATTTGATGCAACTTTTGGTGTAATTGGTTGGAGATGATTTTTAGTTTGGGAAGATTTGGTGCAAAATGGTGCAAATTTTGGTGTAGGGTTAGAGATAGTCTTAAAGAATCTAGCCCATTCGAAGACAACATATGTTTATGTTTGTGTATAAAATGCATTTATACGCATAAGGTAATCAATACGCTTAATTATTTGAATTCAATATAGGTTTATTTCTTCAGAAAATAATCAACGGTTGTAAAACTTAAATTATAAATGTGCCACTGGCATTTAGAAAATTCAAAATTGTGTTGTATAGGAAAAATGTTAGTTCAGAGCTGTGCAATTATTGATTTTGGAGCGTACTTTTGGTTCTAGGTTTTATAAAGTGGCAGCAAATGGGACTGTGCTATTGTTTCAGGTTGGCCCTATCAGGTTTACATTATAATTCTTTATTTATTTAGTTTCATTTATTTGACTTGTATTGAAAGTACTCCTATTGTATGTACTGAAATTTAGGCCTTTAGTGATGGTTGTATAGTTTTCGGGTTAGCTAATAATCATCTAATGAGCCACTTGCTTCAGTTATAGATTTCAAAATGAGCTTAGCAATGATTGAATACTTTGAACTAAATTCATAATCTGGTATGAATTTTTACTCTTGTTACAATTCTCTGTCTGGAGCAGCTATGCAGTACAATGATATTCAACCACGATCCTCCTATGTGTGTTGGCTGTAAGGTATGGGCTTTTTGATATTGGCAACGTTAGTTGTTTTCGTCGTTATTCTCTTCTTTCATGTTAAATAATTGAAGAAGTGGTGAGAATTTGCAGCTTCTCATCCTTGTGTAGAAGTTACTTAATTGTGTCTATTTACATATATGGTACTTGAAACTAGAATTTTAAGAAGAAAGAACGTTGACTCTTAACTTATTCTAATTTTGATAATAGAGCTCTGATGTTAACAAATATAGGGCTTGCGTTTTAGTGTCAATCTCTATGGCATGGACACTTCAAATAGGGTAGCGTGTCCGTGTCCGTGCCCGTGTCCGGTGTCTGACACTTGTCGATATCGACACTCTTTAGACACTTTGCCATAAATATTTTTCGTGTTTATTAAAAATATTATGTATTTTAATTCAAAATTATTAGTAAATAACAAATATGTACTATATTTAAAAGATTTCAACAATAAAAATTAATAACAGGTGTAAAATTAAATTTATATTATATAAATCAAGAATTTTAAAGAATTTAATTAACGTGTCGGGGACGTGTTGTATCGTTACTTTTATGAAAAATTGGATGTTAGCAATTTAACATATTCGACACGTATCGTGTTGGACACAAGTGTCTGTGTCGGTGCATCATAGGCGTCAATGATGCATATGCTCTAGGCAATGAGTCCATCGTTGAGGTATAAATAATATTTTAAAACTTATAACTATTTGTTTTATACTTTAAACTGATCACAGCAGATTATTGTTGCGCAATGCTAGTTTTATCTTTTATCTCACATGTAATTAGCACAAAACGTCCATGCCTTTCAATGTTATTATGCAAAATATCCATACCTTTTATTTTTTGTCATTTTTACCTTTCATTGCGAAAATCATCATTTTTATTCAATTTCCCAATAAAAAAAATTAAAATGAAAAATATTATCTCCTATTTAAATAAAAAAATAAAAGAAAAATTAAAGAACAAAATTGCAATCACACTCCTAAACTTTTTTAAAAAGTACAACTGAGTCCAAATAAATAATTAAAAGGGTAATTAGCACCAAATATCCATACCTTTCAATATTATTGTGTAAAACGTTTAGTTTTTAATTATTCATTTGAAATTATTTGTACTTTTTGAAAAAATTTGGGAGTATAGTTGCAAATTGTTCTTTATTTTTCTTTTCTTTATTTTTGTTTTATTTAAATATAAGGGTATATTTGTCATTTTACATCTTTAATTTGAGAAAATAGATGAAAATAATGATTTTCACAATGTAATGTGAAAATAAGGGTGAAAATGCCAAAAAATAAAGGTATGGACGATTTGCACAATAATATTGAAATGTAGGGACATTTGTGCTAATTATCATTTTAATAATTTATTTGGATTCATTTGCATGGAACTATAGTTCCAATTTGTTGTTTAATTTTTCTTTTCCTTTTTTTTGTTTTATTTAAATAAGAGGGTATATTTGTCATTTTACATTTTTTTATTAAGAAATTGGATGTAAAGGATGATTTCTGCAATGAAAGGTGAAAATAGGGGTCAAAATGCCAAAATGGGTATGTTTTGTACAATAACATTGAAAGGTAAGGATGTTTTCTGCTAATTACTCTTTTCACTACTTTCTATTTGTTGACCTTCATGCAGTAGAGATGAATGATTTTTCTCTACTATGTACTCTGCATATAAGATATCTCAACGCCTAGTTTTCGGTTTTATCATTGTGCTGCTGAATTTTATGTCCTTTATATTTGTAGGACTGTGGTGGTCCATCTCACTGTGGCATGGGTTGCAGTGCACTTGTGTCTAACAAAATTGATGGTAAATAATCCAGAATCTTGCTGCCTTTGAATTTGGTTTTACTATACTAGCAAGATGTTATGTTGCTAAGTTGATAAAAATGGCCAGAGTTTAACTTATATAATGAATGTGCAAATAGGATAGGAGCTGAACAAAAAGTATGACAATTTGCATAACTAATTACTTAATCCTGTAGCTTTAACTTCATGATCCATTTATTGACAAAATTAAGATGATTTTGAAACTCATTTTATATTGACAGCTCAATAAGTTATTAGTTGGAACATGTACAAGAGTTGCTGTGTGAGTATTATAAACATGTGACTGCATTTGTTATTAGGAAAGGAAATATAGAAATAGTCATCTATTATTTGGACATTCAATACACAGTCAATATTGGCCAATTCTGGTGTTTGGACATGTTGGGAGTAGTAAATTTGAGATATAATAGTGAGTTGTGGAGGACTGGATGATGAGGGCTGGTTAAAGACTTAAAGTTAATGTTCCATTTGGCAGGATTATACGATTTGCATGGTTAGCAATTAGGTTTAGTAGAGTTCCAAAATTAACTTGCCTTCTGCAAGCTGTCTATTGCCGCATTGGTTGTGCTAAGTGCTTACATATTATAATTTTTCCTTTCTTGGGTTTTCATTTTCTCGAAAATAATTGTACTGGTTGAGAAAACCAAGATGCACCTGGGCTTGAGATAACCACAAGTTGTGTATATCTAATTGTGCATTTAACCAGTAGCTGTTCAACTATTTCTATGTTTGTATCACATATCCAAATATGGGCATGCTTATGTATTGAGATCAATTACTCGTGATACCTTATTTGATTTCACATTTTCTCTTGCTTGAAAGGTTTCTGAGTCTTTTCTCATGTAAACAGTGATATGTTGTGCTTTTTATGCGGAGTGAGAATGGTTATGAATTCTGACCACGATATGACTTGGTCATATTTTGCTGGTGTTGAAACTATAAAATTGAAATGTATCGTTTCCCTACCTTATTGCAATTATATGCCCTTGTTACTATTTCCTCTCCAATTTTAAAATTTCTGATACAAAAATTGCTGCAATGTGTGACATTCCTGTCTATATAATTTATTGTAACCAACTAGAGCTCATATTCTACTGAATGCTTCAAGACATTGCTTAAGAAATTTGATAATTTCACCAAGTGGATTTTATTGTAACCAACAAGAGCTCACACTTCTGTTATTTGAATGCAGGTTATCCTGTATGTACTACTCTCGGTCTTCCATCAAGCATGCTTATTGATGTCCTTGGTAAGTTCATCTAATCCCCGAAATTCTGTACCTGTCCAGCTTGTGAGGGAAGGGAGAAGAATGTATTGACAACTTGGGATAGGAACCTGAAACTCCTCAACAAATATGGAAGAGAAGAACAATGGAAACTGAATGATATATTGTATTCAACTCAAAAAGAAATAACAAATTCTAGGGCTATTAGAGAGGCCCGGTCTCTCCCCTCCAACTGAATTCCCAATGCAAAGATGATCCCGACACTATGCTTCATGTTTATTGGATTCTCCTACTACATACTATTACTCTTTTACCCCTAACTGATGACTAATATACCTGGCAGTCCCCTTCATGCTAGGTGTCTCATTTCCCCTTCTCTCTTCTTGGGTAAGTAAACCGGATTGGTGGTCTATCATTACCCACTGCCCCAAAATCCACCTTGTCCTTAAGGTGGAAGTTGGGAAACTACATTCTGACTGTTTCGAAGGGCTCCCATGTCGCCTCAAAATTTGGTAGATTTTCCATTTGATTAAGACCTCAGGCCCTACAGATGAGTTTGTGGGGTTTGGACGGACGTCTAGCACTGTCTCGGGCTCCAAAATGAACTCTCCAGTAGCTGATAGCTGAGGAGGAAGTACAGAGGTTGGCTATAAACCACCAATAGCCTTACGGAGCTATGATACGTGGAACACAGGATGAATAGCTGTGGTGATTGGAAGTTTCAGTTTATAAGCTACCTGCTGACCTTGGATTCTACCTTGAACGGGCCATAGTAACATGGGGAAAGCTTTGCATACGGTTGTTTAGCCAAAGATTTATGGCGATAGGGCTGGAGTTTGAGATATACCAATTCGCTTACATCAAATTGAATATCTCAATGATGTCCATCTGCTGTCTCTTTCATTCTCATTTGAGCTCGAGAGAGCTGTACTTTTAGTTTCTTCAAGGCCTCATCACGATCTAATAGCAATTGTTCCACCACTGAGCTCAGAGTCATCCCTCTTTCGAAAGCTAAAATCGGGGGCGGGGGGATCACGACCAGAAACAATATGGAAAGGGGTATGCTTGGTTGTGGTATAGAAAGATGTATTATATTAAGAGCTTGTTTGGGAGAGATTAAAATCCGATTTAAATCTAAGTCAAAGTCAAATAATCGATATTAACCACATCTTTCATTGGTCTCACAACCTTTCATTCACACATTTCAAAAGCTTCTATCACAATCTACTCAAAAATCTAATTTTAATTCATACCAGACATACACTAAAATTCATACTGCAACACCTTAAATACATTTTCAAGCAATGATTCAGGACCTCCTTCTGCCTGTCTATTTTTGGATGGCAAGCGGTGTATTTGAGTGCAGTTCCTTGTGCTTTGAACAATGCAGCCAGAAAGTACTCATGAAAATCGTATCTCTGTTTGACATAATAGAATGTCGTATGCCGTGTAGTCGAACTACCTCACGTATGAATGCCTCAGCAATGATGGGGGCAGGAAACGGAAGCCTTAAACTAATGAAATGCCCATACTTAATCAGACGATCCACAACGATCAAGATTGTATCCACCCCTCCTGATCGGGGGAGCCCTTCAATGAAGTCCATTGAAACATCTCCCCAAACTAACTCGGGAATCGGTAATGGTTGTAATAATCCCCAAGTGATAAGGCCTTATATTTGTCTTGTTGACACACTGCACACTTTGCCACATAATCCTTTACCGCCTTCTTCATCCCATGCTAGAAAACCTCTTGCGCAATCCGCTTTTATGTCTTGAGGAAGCCCGAGTGTCCCGCAACTTTAGTGGCATGACACTCTTGCAACATGAGAGTGACAAACAGAGAGTTGCTGGGCAGAACTACCTTCTCATGATAACGCAAAACTCCATTAACCACGGCATACCCCGATTTAACGTTGCTTCTAGTTTGTAGGTCAGTAACTAGCTTGCCCAAGATGTCATTTGCCTCAACCTCTTTCTTAATTTCATCTAACTCTAAGGCTTTTGGAGTGGATATCGCTCATAAATTCAATGTTGACCGAATTCTCGGAAGGGCATCCACGACATTGTTTTCTAGCCCCGGCCGATATTGGATCTCAAATTGATACCCCATAAGTTTAGTCAACCACTTTTGGTGATCTTCACTAGCTAAGCGCTGCTCTAATAAAAACTTCAGGCTTCGTTGATCTGTTCGAACCAGAAAACATCGGACAACCAGGTAATGACGTCACTTCTGAACAGCGAATGCGATAACCATTAATTCCCTCTCATAAATTGACTTCTGCTCGGCTGTTTGTGGTAGAACTTTACTAAAATATGCAACTAGGTGGCTGTTCTGCATTAACACTGCCCCTAAACTTTGATAAGAGGCATTGGTTTCAATCACTAATTCTTGCAAGAAGTCAGGTAAGGTGAGCATTGGGACGCTGATCATGGCTGATTTGAGATTCTTGAAGGCTATCTCTGATACTTCATCCCAACGAAATCGATCCTTGGCATATCCTTCCGCGAAGCCTTGATAATGACCTGTGAGGCCTAGGAATTCCGGTAATTCCTTGACATTACCCGACCTTGGCTAATTGACCATTGCTTCAATTTTCGACCCATCGACTGCCACCCCTTTTTCAGAAACCACATGGCCTAGATATTCAATTTCCAATTGACCGAACCGACACCTTTTCTTGTTGGCGCACAGCTGATGATCTTGTAATGTTTCCAAAACCAAACCGAAGTGTTGCAAGTGATCTTCTACTGATTGATTGGAGACCAAAATGTCATCAAAAAATACAAGCACAAACTTTCGCAAATAATGCTTGAACACCTCATTCATCAAGTACTGGAAGGTCGTTGGTGCATTCGACTGTCCAAATGGCATGACCAGAAACTCATAGTGACCTTCATAGGTACGAAAAGCGGTTTTGGAAATGTCCTCTAGTTGAACCCTAATCTGATGATACCTAGACTTCAAATCCAGTTTGGAGAATACTCTAGCCTTATGCAACTCGTCTAACAATTCATCAATCATAGGAATTGGGAAGCGATCAGGCACCATCTCCTTGTTTAATGCTTGGTAGTCTACACAGAACCTCCAACTCCCATTTTTTTTTTTTTTACCAACAATACATGACTTGAAAACGGGCTAGAACTGGGTTGTATAATCCCTGTAGTCAACATGTCTTTGACCAATCTCTCAATTTCATTCTTTTGTATATATGGGTACCGGTACGGTTGCATGTTTATCAAAGCAGCTCCTGGTTGCATATTAATCTAATGATCCCTGGACCTCTTGGGAGGCAGTTCATTGGCCATTCGAAAACTTTCTGGTAATTTAGCAACAATTTCGTCATCTTGTTGGGAACTTTAGTTGTGTTATCCTCAGCTGTTACTTCTAAGCTTCCCAATTCCAAAAGAATCCCTTGCTCTCTCTCCTTAAGCGACTTGACCATTGTTTTCAACGGAACCTGAGTTTTACCCAAATTGGGGTCGGTTGCAGTGTAATATGCTCCCCTACAACTTTGAAGCGCATTGTTAATGTTCCCCAATTTACTTGTGTTCGACAAAGGACTCCAACCATTTCATTTTGAGAATAACGTTCGTACAACCCAATTCCGTAGGAAGTCTTCCACTACCACAATATTTAGTAACGTAACCACAATCCCCTTACAAATTCCTCTACCTCTCACTCTCATGCCATTTTCCGTGAGAACCTTGTAACTGGCTGAATCAGTGACCTGCAACGCTAATTTCGAGGCAATCTCGTATGAGATGAAATTGTGTAGCTCCGCAATCAATAAGGACTATCACCTTTTACCCCAAAAATAGCACCCATGAGCTTCATAGTTTTTTGGGGTGGTCAGCCTGACAACTGATTTAATCGATAGCTCCACGTCACCTACCATGACTTCCTCTTCCCCCTCCTCATCTTCCTCCTTGTCTTCACTAACTTTTTCCTTCACTACCAGAAATTGCAGCTCTCTATTTTTGCATTTATGACCCTGATTGAACCTCTCGTCGCAACGGTAACAGAGCTTCTTTTCCTTTCTCACTTGGAGCTCACCGTTGGTTTTCGGTCCTCGCCGCCGTCGTCGACAGTGGAAATGCAACCGTCGTGGGTTTGGGGAGGTTCGCTAGGGCCTGCATATTTGATTGGGACATCGTTTGTGTCAACTTGGGGTAGTTGCTGAAACTACTTGGGCCATTCTAGATTGGGCTGGCCGAAATTGGACAATAATTGGGGCTTTTAGAGCGATATGGGCCAACCAAAATCTGGGCCCTCTTCATCGATTCATTCCGATCCTCAATCCGCTGGGCCGTTTCCATGATTTGGCCCAATCTTTGAGGTTTCAGTGTCCTAACCTATGATGCTCGGATTCGGGTGCGAGTATCGGATACGGGTACACATCTAGAAGTCAGATCCTCATTATAAAAATTAAGATATGGGGATACGGTTAAAAATGATTCGAATTTTGGATACGGGTACGGGGATGCTTCTTACAATTTTTTATTTTTAAAAATGATAGAACAATGCTAAAATAGCAGAGAGAAAAATGGTTCAATTATAGTAAATAATCACAATATTAAATTAACTTGTAAACATAATTAATTGATATTGGTTGTTAAAAAATGAACTCGTAGTTTATTTTGTTACTCATTCGATAAAATCAATTTGAACAATTGGATTATAATTTGAAATCAATTTAAATTTAAATTCAAAACAATTTCTTTTCCAAAAAATTAATAAAAATCAATTCAATGTCTTATATATTATTTAAAAATAATTATAAAAATAAATTTAAATTTAATACTAGAAAAATAATATATCACTAATTCATTTTAATTACAACATAAAATGTTTTAAAAGATAAAATATGAGAAATAAAAACATTATATAAAAATAAACTTATTAAATACATTCATTGGACTTCACAAGAGTCCATTTAACACACTCTCATTAACTCTATCCTTTGGATTTCTCAAGAGTGTATTTAACTCCTCTAAATCTCGTCGTCTTCCCTTATCTTCCCCAAATCTCTCTTTTTCTCTGCAAAATTTTCAGCCGCTAGAGAAGCAAGACACCTTCTACAATCTTCTCCTTTTTGCTGCTGTGTCTGAGTGTAAAACGAAGGATCCGATCCATATCTCTTGTCAGTATCCATGTCATGTTGTGTTAACACGGATACTTCTCCATTTTAGGAGAGTCCGAGCAACATAGATCCTAACCTCAGCCATTATCATTGGGCTTAACCCATTTATGAAGTTTCCTTCAAGCACAAAATCGGGAATATTCGGCAGCGAAGTGGCCAAGATTTCAAACATCTGGCGATATTCTTTTATGGTTCCTTCCTACTTCAGTGACAGAAACTTCTCCAGCAAGGTGCCCTTCTGTGTTGGTTTAACTCTGGTGAACAAGAGGATTTTTAGGTCATCCCAATTCGAAATCGGTTGCTGGCCACTTTCCATAGGTACCATGTGAGTGCTTCATCCTTGAGACAAACTCCGGCGGCCTCAATCTTCTCCTAACTTGTAAATTGGTTCATGTTGAAGTATCTTTCAGCACAGAAAACCCAACCATCTAGATCCTCTCCATTGAATATTGGCATTTCCAATCAGCTATTATGATTCTCCATTCTACGACCTTCATCACAGCGAAATTGCCTTCCCCCAACGGCCCCCAACTCCGGAGCCTTGGGTGGCCATCGGAACATGCAGCGGGTTCCGTTGAAGTGGATCAAACTCCTTTTTCCTTCATGTCACGCTCTTGGTTGTCCCACCTCGTCATCACAACATCTAGCTTATCTAGTATCACTGCCATATCCCTCTGGAGCTCAGATTTCATCACCTCCATTCCTTCCTATAATCCGTCAACACTTGCTTCCAATACCCCCACACAATCGGTGATTGTCATATTCCGAGTTCGATGCTCTGATGCCAAAATTTGATAGGGACCTGAAATTGCTCGACAAATATGGAAGAGAAAAACAATGGAAACTGAATGATATATTGTATTCAACTCAGAAAAAAATAACAAATTCCAGGGCTATTAGAGAGGACGGGTCTCTCCCCTCTAATTGAATTCCAGTGCAAAGATGATCCCAAGATCCCACTATCCTTCACATTTATTGGGATTCTCCTACTACATACTATTACTTTTTTACCCCTAACTGATGACTAATATACTTGGCAGTCCCCTCCATGCTCGATGTGTCATTTCCTCTTCTCTCTTCTTGCGTGAGTAAACCGAATTGGCGGCCTATCAACTTGCTTGCTTTTTGGAATGTTTTTGCATGGATTACTACTGTAACTTGATAATAGTACTGCCGTCCCATGATTATTATGCGTTTCATGGACACGTGAAATTAAATATGACTTTTGTCCTTGATGGTTCAGAATGTTACATGAGTCAATGCCTTGTTTTTGGTTGACTAATTTTGTGGCAGATAAAAAGAGTCCCCACACGGGAATCATAATTAAGATGTCAAACAATGGACCACAGCATAATTGTTCACTCTCTGTGACGGTTATATGTAATTCAAATGGAGTCCAAGTACGATCTTGTTCCTAAGTCCATCTAATAAATTTCTGTGGTACCATAAATTTATTCTATTTCTGTTGTGCAGGGCCCTCAGACATTTGACACAGTTGGATTTTGTGATTATGTAAGCACTTATCGCTAGAATTCCATTACTAATTTAGTATGCATATGTTTTAAATAATAAATATTAGCTTAAATTGCAAAATAATTGTGTGCCTGCATTAAGTGCGACAGTCAGTCAGCCTTCTATTATTGCTCTTTCTGATGATATTCTCTAAATTGGCAGTGGTCATGGCTGAGTTGTAAGAGCCTTATTCGAGTTACATATCCATTTTTCTTCTGTATATTTGTGTATTCTTTTTTAGGTTATATGTCTGCATTGATTCTATAGAGTCTTGTCTCTACAGGAATTATTTGCCTTGATCAGTTTGGTACCATATTTATTTCTTGCCTCTTCATCTCTTTGTAGTATGTCATATCCCATGAATGTTTTATGTTACTTAGAACTATATTAATTCATTTTCTAATGATAGCAGATTACTTAATGTTGGCTTGGGTGGACCATTGTTTCTTAGTAAGAAATATGTTGAGTAAAGGAGAGTCTAGTTATGTTGTTCTGTTTTGCATTTCCCTGTAATTATCTTAGAATTCAATAATATTTCTCTGTTTTTACTTTCTTCCATTGGAGTCCTATCAGTTGCCTTCATCTATTTTTTTGTATATAGATCAACCTCGAAATATTTCTTTTGTTTATCCTATTCTGTCCTAGGAGAAAAGTTGTATTCATCAACTTCGTTTACACTCTGTACTTGGAAGCCCAATAATCCCCATAATTCTTCCAATGGTAGGTTATCCCCATCAACTTCGACAAGTGCATTATATATCTTCATTTTAAAGTGGTTAAGGGCAATGATATCCACTGTAGTCGTGTTATCTTCATTAAATTTAGGATTGTTCTCAGCGTGCTCCATATAGAGAGGCCTAATTATTCTATAACTTTTGTTCGTTTAACTTTATGATCTTTATTAATATCTGAGATTGAAGTAAACTTACTGTCAATTTTTATTTACATCTGTTATCTTGTAGACATGTTCATGTCCTGTAACTATTCTGCATCACAAAGGCCAAACTTGCTGGTAATTTGGTATTTTCACGTATTGTGTGTAGAAATCTTTGCATCGTAGAAATTGAAAATGATTAATTGCTTAATTATTGTTGTTTGTCATGTAACTCTATATTTTTATTGATGAAATTTTTGAATTACTGAATGACTTTATATTCTTAGGGAATGGGTGCACTACTTTCACTTTTTCAAGTTAATAGGTTTTCTTCCCTCCCACCCCACTGACAGACTACACAGCTAAAGCATCCATCAGGCTGTGCCAAGATTATATCATCTCATGGACAAGGATTGGGCTGGTTTGGTATTTTTATGGTCATGTAATGATTCAAATCCTGTACTGTCTCAATTTCGTTCCTTTTTCAAATAATGTTTGATCTCTCTATACTGATTGATTTGGTTTTCAGCATCTTGTGCCTCTTCGGAGTTTACTTATTGGCTGGTACATTATATCGGTACTTCGTCCTGCACATCTATGGTATAGATGTATGTAACATTCTTGTACTCGAAGCCTTCTCTTTTCTTCAAATTCTTCTGCATTATTTTTCTTTTATAGTAATAATCATTATTTCAGTCGTCATCATATTTACTTTTTGGCCAGTAAGGAATTTGTGTTAAAAATGTCTTCATACTTTTTGTAATTTTATGAATTAAGTATTCTAATCTTGTTTTCCTACAAAGTAGGCCTTCTTGGAAACAGAATTCTGGTTGGCACAAGTTAGTTATATTAAGTAAAGATAAGAAAAGTAGCAAATTGTCAGGGTTAAGGCAATCGATGTCCAGGGAATTAAGGCCGAAAGACCAAAGACGAAATGCAAATAGAAAATAAGTTCTCTGTTTCTTTGTAATTCTAGGAAATCTTGTTCTTTGGGAAATTAATAGATGACAAAGTTTAGCTTCAAGAAAAGTAAAATGGTAAAATAAATGGTGAAGGGATCATGGGTATCCATTAGGATGTCGATGTTCCTTTACCACTTAAAGGGATTCACGTCCAGGTTTATACTATTTATGTGTGACTACTGTGCTTTCATGCTAGTGCTTGGTTTCTTTTCTATTATCTTATCATGGGGTGTAAAGAGATTATTAGAATAGCCTTCATTGTCGATGGTATGTGCATTTTGTTTTTGCTTGTTCCCAAGCATTAATGCAGCAAGCGATTCTGCCATCCAGATACTTTTAGAGAAGCTTAAAGGGGATTGACATAAGGTTCCCAGATAATTTTAACCTGGGAGGTTGAATGTAAAAACAGCACGCTCATGCTACTCTCTGCCTAGTTATTAATGGTTTTTGCAATTGTTCATCCTTTTACAGTTTATATTTTATGTGAGACTTTACGTTGTTCCACAAATGGATTGAACAAAACTATGGGTAACATAAAACAAAGATGATCACAGTCAAAATCGAAGACTGGGTGACTTATTTCTTGGGGGATCTAACCAATACACTTACTATTTTGTAGAACATAGGTAAAAATGACTTATCACATTTTATTTTACATTTAAAAAAAATATGAAAAAGTCAGTTGTTGCTTTTGTCTCAGATTTGCATTGTAGTATGATGTTGAAATTTATATTTCCATTCAGCTGTTGTTCACCTCATTTTTCAGGCAATTCCAAACCTGGATTTCTGGGCTAGCTTACCCCGTCGAATACAGGTACCTTTGATGATTTTCTTGTGGTGAATGTTCAATATGTAAATACTTTACTTTTATATATTATTTTTTCCCTGGAAGTCAATGAATTTGTACCAAGCCC